GGGAGGCTGCTGCAGACGCTGGGCCGAGAGCGGCGTGGGACACGGATGCCTGAGGAGGATTCCCAGGGAAGATCTTCTCATCTCAGATGTCCAAGGTACACTCGTCCTTGCTCAGACGCTCACCTGCCGGACACACCCCGGGCAAGGCAGCAGGGAGGGGACACACTATGCACCTCCCGTCCTTTCTGCTTGGCACAGGTGCTGAGAACCTTCCAGGATCATGAGCCAAAATGCCCCTTTTTTCCTGCGCACCCCACCCACCCCAGCTGAAGGCCTCCAGCCCCAAGCTGACTAGACTGAGTGCATGTTTAATACGAGTCCAAATTCTGAGGCTGTGGCCTGTAGTTTGCTCAGGGCCCACTAAGGCAAAAGTCCCGTTGGAGTAGGAACTGAATAAACATCTCAGGAGCCAGCTGAGCATGAAAACACAGAGGTTATCACCTCCTCCTTCTGTTGTTAAGGGCCGTGGCTGTTAAGGGGAGGTAGATACCTGCTTTTAGCTGCTAGGAAGCATGGAGGCACTAAGACTTCTCTCAGGAATAATTGGAAGGAATTTTCAACCTGGGCAAGGAATATTTTCCTCCAACTTTCATTCCACAAGTTAGCTGAACTGTTATGCCTGGAATTTAAAATAATAATTAAAAGTTCAGCCAGAAGGAGACACCCAACGTAGGGCATTTCAGCGTAAGAGCTTAAAACCTGGCAAACTTATAAGCAACTGCAAATGAGGTATCTTAATTCAAGGTTTTAGGTGGCTTTAACTAGAGATGGTGCTGGCGGCACCATCTACGACGGCCGATCTATTTGTGAGTCTTATTTGGCTACTCTCCAGCACACTAAGATTAGTGGCAAGGAGTTCCGCAGGCCACATACTGACAGTGAAAACAATTTTCATTTCTCAGTCTTATAGGCTGTGTCTAGATTACACCTCTCTGTCGATAGAGAGATGTAGCTTAGGCACGTCGAAATTGCTAATGAAGTGGAGATTTCAACGGAGCTTTTTTGAAAAAAACCCAGCAGTCTAGACGCGGAGCTTTCAAAAATTAACCCGTTTTCGAAAGATCCTGTAAACCTCATTTTATGAGGGGTAAGGGATCTTTTGAAAAAGGGTTTTATTTTTGAAAGAGCTGCGGCTAGACTGCAGGTTTTTTAAAAAAAGCTCCGCTTTGAAAAAAAGCGGCAGCCATGTTTATGCTAATGAAGTGTGTGATAGTTAAATCCCCGCTTCATTAGCAATTTTGACGTGCCTAATTTATATCTCTCTGTTGACAGAGAGGTGTAGTCTAGACACACTCATAGATTCCAATTTCGAATGAACTTGATGATCCCTTGCTAGTGTGCTGGGAGACAAAAGAAATATAAATGCCTGGTCTACTGGGTTTATATATTGATCCACAGGTGTCAACATCAAAAGGGACTATTAGATCAGCCAGTCTGTTGGCCATAAATTTCACCCTCTAATCTCAGTACTGATCCCATAACTAGTGTCTGACTAAGAGCTGGTGCACACTGGGGCTTTGTCTATACTGCAGGGTTTTTGCACAAGAAGCTTTGTGTGGAAGAGATCTTCTGCAACAACTTTTTGTGCAAAAGCGCGTCCACACCTCCAAAGTTCATCGCAAAAGCGTTGTGCTTTTGCACAAGAGAGTGTCCACACTGCATGGACGATTTACTGTCCTTTTTTTTCCGCAAAAATGCGCTTGAGGTGTGGACGTTCTGCCGGTTTTTGTGCAAAAATCTTGTAGTGTGGACATAGACTAGGATTTTACAACATAAAAGCATGGAGCCACAGGGTGTGAAGGAACATTTGATTGTATTTACGCATTTTGTTTGGAAGGGCTGCACTTATCAAACACTCCAGATAAATCAATACAGCTGCCCTGGCCTCCTCTGCCAGTCTGTGGGTCATGTGCACATTGTATCGCAATGATTTTGTATTTGCTTCCATGTGCTTGATGAAAATGTGTAAAGCAGCAGGTTGAGAAATGATCCATGGAAAATACAACTAGAATCAACCCAGTTCAGTAACAATGGCTCATTGATTTTCTTAAATCGCTAAGTGAGACATGTGTTTGTCCATTTTTCATGTGCTCTACTGATATTGGGTAGTGTTCATTTTTATCTGAATGTTTCTCCTCTAAGTCTACTCTCTCGGGGTACGTCTAAACTACATGCCTCCATCGACGGAGGCATGTAGATTAGCCAGATCGGCAGAGGGAAATGAAGCCGCAATTAAAATAATCGCGGCTTCATTTAAATTTAAATGGCTGCCCCGCTCTGCCGATCAGCTGTTTGTCAGCAGATCGGGGCAGTCTGGATGCGACGCGCCGACAAAGAAGCCTTTCTTGATCGGCACAGGTAAACCTGGTTTCACGAGGCATACCATGGGAAAGGTGTTTATTCTGAAATGTTTAGAATAAAGTTAACACCAGTCAGGGTTTATAGATAGGAGATCTTATCAAACAACCCAATTTCATCCCTTAATGGGAGGAAATATTTTGTTAGTCATAGGAATATCTCTGGCACAACAGACTTTGATTTCTCCGAGGGTGTGTCTAGACTACATGCCTCCGTCGACGGAGGCATGTAGTCTAGACACACCCTCGGAGAAATCAAAGTCTGTTGTGCCAGAGATATTCCTATGACTAACAAAATATTTCCTCCCATTAAGGGATGAAATTGGGTTGTTTGATAAGATCTCCTATCTATAAACCCTGACTGGTGTTAACTTTATTCTAAACATTTCAGAATAAACACCTTTCCCATGTTTCCTAGTCTAGGTAACACTTATTTTTTAAAAAATTCTCATTTTTTTTAAAATCAATTACATGCAACATTGGACTGCTCTGGCTTTCCACTTCTTCCTCTCTTGGTGCCTGACTGTGTACTTCAGAAATAGCCAAGGAGCTGATAGGCCACCTGGTCATTTTGTTGTGCATCACTCTAAAGTTCTACTGAAGATGCTGTTTAAGATCTTCCTTGCCTATATTGGACTGGAAGTATTTCACCAACTCAAGGTGTGAATACCTCACACTGCTTATTGCCGAATGCACCATTTATAAGTTTCCTTTTTTCCAGGGTATCCTAAATATTTCCATGATTTCTTTGTCCTTAATATACTCAGTAACCTACTTTTGGAGACTCACAGCCCTTCCAAGTGTGAATTTTTTCCTAACATCTTTAAAACTCGTATCAATTTTCACCACTATGTTTTTTCACAAATTGTTTTTTCTTTCGATCTATTTTCCTTGTTTCTATTTGCTCTCTATTACTTTCTTTTCCTCCTCTTTGTTGCATTTGTTTTCCAAGTGAACTGAATTTTAGCAAAGTGAGCCATGCTCTGAAGGGTGGAAAAGTGGCATTTATGTCACCTGATAACCTTTTCAACAACTAACAATTTTAATCCCCATTTTTTGGTCTGGATATTTGCTTCCAATCCATTTTCCTGATAATTTGCTTCAGTTTTGAGAAATGAGCTTTTTGGAAGCACTAAGGGTGTGTCTAGACTACAGGGTTTTGTCGACAAAAGTCCACTTTTGTCGACAAAACTATACCTGCATCCACACTACCGCTGAGTTCTGTCGACATAACGTCGACAGAACTCAGCAGTTTTGTCGACGCTGGTAAACCTCATTTTACGAGGCATAACGCATTCTGTCGACAGAGTTTCTGTCGACAGAAGGTGTTATTGCATGTAAACTGTCCTTTGCATCTACACTACCATGTCGACAAAGCAGCTTGCTTTGTCGACAGAACTCAATGTAGTCTAGACGCTCTTTGTCGACAGAAGTTTTGTCGACAGTATCTGTCGACAAAACTTCTGTCGACAGAAGCCTGTAGTCTAGACGTACCCTAAGTGTCTGACGATGACGTGGGTCGGGAGCGGTTCCGTGTTTGCCCGTCGGAATGTAATGAGTTCCATTCTTTATTTGGGTTTCCTTTATCATCTGCCCAGTCTTTGTCTCATCTCTAAACTAACCAGTGCCAGACCTTTCAGTCTGTCTGCATTTGACAGCCTCCCGCTTTCTCACATCCTGTTTCAAAATCCCCCTTTTTGATTTGCTACATTGTTCACAGACACTGGGTAGCTAAAACTAAGCACGTGTCCAGAGCCAGTTATACGCCAGCACATCCATTAGGTATACAAAAGTTGCATTTTTTTGGCCACTGCAGTGTAAATGCAGGTGTTTCCATCAAGCTGCTATCAGTGATGCCAGGGGCTTTCCCTGAGGTGTGTTCTACTTAGAATGTTTCCTCCAGCACACGTCTAGCAAAGCTGGGTTTTTCCCTCCACCCTCAGATTTTGAGCAATCAGGTGAAACGCCCCACACAATGGAATCTGGAGACTGAGTTTCATTTTATAAGGAACAATGATAGCTAACGAGTACCCACACTCATGTTTCCAGCTGGTGCCTTTAGTGTTCCGTTCTCATGCCGGCTAGGAGTTACTGACGCATGGAGCACCACAAAATATGGGAATTGCCGTCAGTAGTGTCTCTGACTAATGGAAGTGACAGTTTTTGGTGTGTGAAGAACAACTAAACTGTTTCAACAATAAGAACAGCATCCAGTAGCTATTGGCTAATATCTATTAGCCAGGATGGGTAGGATTGGTGTCCTTAGCCTCTGTTTGTCTGGGAATGAGTGACAGCGGAGGGATCGCGTGAGGATTATCTGTTGTGTTCACACCCTATGGGGCATCTGGTATGGGCCACTGTTGGCAGACAGGACACTGGGCTAGATGGACCTTTGGTCTACCCCAATCTGGCCATTCTTCTCTTCCTATATATTACTGTTCAGTAGTTCATGAAGGATCTCATGTTCAACTTGTCTTTCCATCCAGGTATTCAGTCTGAGACCATCCCCCAAGATTCTGGGCATACATAGGACACCACAGGAATACGTGTTATGTGCAGGAGACAGAGTTCTTCCTCGGTAGATTTTCCCCTGCTCCATGGCAGATTCCAACTCAACCGACTTCACCAACCCCTCCTCCATCCCCTTCTGCACCATGTATGCCATAGCCATCTTGGGGAACATCACCATCCTGTTCATAGTGAAGATGGACCCCAGCCTCCATGGGCCCATGTACTATTTCCTCTGCATGCTGGCCAGCAATGACTTGGTCCTGCCCACATCCATCATGATCAAAACACTGAGCATCTTCTGGTTCAGTTCCAGGGAAATCAATTTCAGTGCCTGCCTCACCCAAATGTACTTCATTAACTGCATTTCAGTGATGGAGTCTGGGATCTTCGTGGCCATGGCGTTTGATCGCTACGTGGCCATCTGTGATCCCCTGAGACATTCCACCATCCTGACAAACTCCATGGTGGCCAAGACTGGTCTGGTTGTGTTGCTGCGTGGCATCATACTCATACTGCCCTATCCCTTGCTGGCAAGACAATGGCCATATTGCAGAACCAACATCATCTCCCACTCGTACTGCGAACACATGGCTGTGGTGAAGCTGGCCTGCGCTAACACCCAGATCAGTAGTTACTACAGCCTCTCTGTGGCATTCTTTGTGATTGGTCTGGATGCATTTTTTATCAGTGTGTCCTATGTCCAGATCCTCAGGGCCATCTTCACCCTCTCCAGAAAGGGTGCTCGGCTGAAAACTTTTGGGACCTGTGGCTCCCACCTCTGTGTCATTTTATCTTCTTACATTCCAGCTCTCTTCTCCTTCCTCACACACCGGTTTGGCCAGAAGGTGGCCCTGCATTTCCATATTCTCACTGCAAACATATACCTCCTGGTTCCCCCCATGCTACACCCCATCATCTATGGGGCCAGGACCAAACAAATCTGGGACAGTCTTCTCCAGCTGTTTATTCATAAGGTGAACTAAATTCCTTCCTGATGCTCTGGCTTTCAGAGCAAGATCCATGTAGAGCTGCTGGTAACATAACTCAGAGCCAGTTTTCCTGAATCTCTTACTGGACAGTGAAAGATATATTTGAATTCTTTCCTGACCTCCCAGTTTTGTGTCAGGGATGATATACAAAAATACTCATACCTAAGAGGTGCTATACACAGGCGGTAAACACATTCCAGAGCGGTCATAACAGAACACCTCATTAAGAAACATCTTGGTATCAACTGCCTCCCAGAAATACCATATACACCGACCCAAGTTCAGGGCTAAATGGAGAGTTGATGAATAATAATGGAACCCCCCATTCTGTGAGCTAAGGGGCTGTAACTAGGTAACCGAGGATGGCAACATGATATGTCAGGAGTGATGTGGAACTTGTTTGTACCTATGTATAAAAGCGAACCTCAAAGAAATGTCATCGACTGACCATAAGGGGGCATTGGAATCCAGAGTGCTTAGTGGGGTGTTAGTCAATTGTCATGGTGTAATGGCGCAGGTGAAGTATGTTCGCTGACAACTATTATTGTATGTCTCATGGCAATAAACCTGGCTGGGTGCTTTCAATACTTATCTGATTTGTGGTCTCAGGAGGCGCTCTTGGGGTTTGTTGTGTTGACTAATTGCCCAAGGTTAACACGTTACACCAGAATTCACACGCATGCAGCGGAAAATAGAGACACTGAAGAACCCATCAGGATGACCCCACCTGACTGACGACAGCACCCAGATCTGTGTGAGCCTATCTGGGAAGGATGCTGGTCAGCAGGGAGCTTCCCAGCTGCCCAGGAAAGGCTGTTCCCTGACAGCTATTAGTGTGTGTCGTCTGGCAATAAATCTGATCGAGCGATTTCAATCTTTCTCTGATTTGTGGTCTCTGGGGCTCTCTTGGGAGTGTCACGTCAACCAATTGCACATGGATAACACGCTAGACAGTGGCGCGCACACACACACATGCAGTTGAAAGTGTATCACCATTAATAGGGCAGAGGACCTGTCAGGACCCCATCGGGATGATCCCGCCCTACGAGGATACATGACAACACCAAGAAAGAGGAAGAACAATAGTGAGGGAGAAGGAGCTTTGCTGGGCACAGGTCACTGACAAATACCAGCTCTGTGCTTGTGAAAAACTGAATCTGTGATAAGGACTGGGGTGAGGAACACGATTGGTAACAACTTCTCTTTGTGGATTAGGGTTAGTCAGTGAGTTTTGTTTTATCTGTGCTTAGTAACTTACTTTGTTCTGTCTTCATTTGCAACCATCTAAGTCTTATTGTATATATTGAATAAAACCACTTTTGTTTCTGACCAAACTCAGCGTAAATAATTGTTACCCAGGGAAGTGGGGGTTGACAGCTGTGCGTATCTCTCTTTCATTGATAAAGGTGACAAACCTCTTTATGAGCTTTCTGATAAGTCCCTGTAGTATTATCAGCACCCGTGTCACTCTGTGGGGGGCAGGTTGTTACCCCAACTCTGTGCCTTTGCTTAGGGACACCAGAGCATCTGGTAAGCGAGATGGGTTGGTGGAGCACCCCAAAGAGCAGGTAGGCAGGATCAGTGGTGTGATCAGCACATCGGGGGGATGATCTCAAGGGGATGTCTGTGATCCAACCCATCACACTCCTGGTTTCTATCTCAGCTCTGGGAGGGAACTGGGGTCAGAACTGTTCATGGGGAGCAGGACACACCCATCTGGGCTAGAGGGAGTAACACCAGAATGGCCACACTGAGTAAGACAAAATGTTCTTTTAGCACAGGATTCTGCCTTCTCCAAGGGGCCAGTTTCATGCTCATCATAGGGAATAAACCGAACAAGGCCATCATCACTGAGTGATTCTTGTCATAGTCAACAGCTTTAGCCTGCTAGCTGGCCTACAGAGAACTTTTCTTATCGATTTCTTGTTTCCTTATGGGTTTTTTTGATACATAAGTTGTAATAAGTTTTTAAAGTAGTTTGGCTGTAAAATGAAGGACTGCAAAGTTTGCAAACAGATGATCTGGAGCTTTCACGTAACTAGATGACATTGAGCTAAAATAAATAAATAAATAAAATATGCTAATAAATTAAAATAATAAATAAATAAATAAAGTATGATGAAGTACATAAAGTATATAATATGTTAAGGCAGATTGGCAAAGGGACTTTCCTATGTTTCTAAGTTCACATTCATTTAAAGTTAACATGTATATGACACCGGTTAGGTCAAGAATAACAAAACTGATTCAGAACCACAAAAGGTCCAGATAATGAATTGACATACCTATGTGTGTCTGTCTGTACATCTGTTTGTCTGTTTGTTCACAAACTTCTCCTAAGGAGGAGTGAGAGTAGGAGTAATGAGTTAGATTAAAAGAGGTAAAGAACAAAGGTTCTAGTAGGGGTCTACTAAAGACCAGCTGCCCAGGCAAAAGAAGTTCACAAGGTTTTTTTTAACCAATTCACAAAACCAGCCGAAGTGCAGGATTTGGTGGTGTTGGGGGACTAGAACTATCCATAGATCTCTTGTGAAACTAACACCGCAGGGCACAGACTATCCAATAAGTTCTTGGACTGAATGGAAGAAAATGTTTATGTCAGAAGGCAGAGAAAGCTGCTGGGGGGAAGCTGATCTAGATTTGATTTTAACAAACAGGAAGGGACTGGTGGACAATTTGAAAGTGGATGTGAAAGTGGAAGGCAGCTTGGGTGGAAGATCTAGGGGTCACAGTGGCCCACAACCTACATATGAGTCAACAGCGCGACACGGTTGCAAAAAAGCAAACATGACTCTGGGATGCATTAAAAGGAGTTTTGTGAGCAAGACACGAGAAGTCATTCTTTTGCTCTACCCTGCACTGATTAGACCTCAGCTGGAGTATTGTGTTCAGTTCTGAGCACCACCTTTTAAGAAAGATGTGGAGAAATTGGAGAAGTATGTAAAAAGGTTTTACAAGGAGGAGGGAGAAAAAATTGTTCTCCTTGGCCTCTAAGGACAGGACAAGAAACAATGGACTTAAATTGCAACAAGGGAGATTTAGGTTGGGCATTAGGAAAACGTCCTACCTGTAAGGATGGTTAAACACTGGAATAAATTGCCTTGGGAGGTTGTGGAGTCTCCATAGCTGGAGATATTGAAAAGCAGGTTGGATAAACACCTGTCAGGGATAATCAAGATGATCTAGAAGGTTTTTGGTTCTGCCGTGAGGGCTGGGGACTGGACTTGATGACATCTTAAGGTCGCTTCTGGTTCTAGTGTTCTGTGATTCGATGAGTGTATAAATTGCAAGAGCTAAGGCCACTGTATTCGGTATGTAGCTTGTTCAAACCCTTCCTTAAACCATGCCGCAAAGGAGGGGCCAGAGAGGAAGGACACCATACTGCAGGCTAACCAGTGGACAGAAAGTGCAGAGAACAGTGACTCTGAAGGGAGACCCCTTGGGGCAGCTGCAGAAGTAGCGCAGTGGCCCAGTGCTCCCTACCCCAGTATAGGCTTAGCCGGGCAAAACGCCCCAACCCCAGCCCTGGATCTGGGCCCAGATGAAGAAATAGAATGCTCCTCAGCCCCCACTCCACAAACCTAATTGAAGCGGGGGGTGGCACAGGGACAGGTTCCCCCGGCATTGGCATGTTAGGGGGAGAGGACAAACCTGCACACCCTCCCGTTTCCTTTCACATGGCACAAGGAGAGTGGCTCTGGTGCACTAGGGATCCTGAAGCAGTGCCCTGTTTCATTTTGTGACTCCACTGCATAACGAGGGATGTTTGGGAGAACTCATCAGGATCTCTCTCTTCAGGGATACCAGCTCATTAATCCCCATTGTTTTACGCATTGGGTTGCTCAAGAACGGCAGTTGGAGCTTTCTCCTCTCCACATTAAGGGAGGGAGAGCATGGACACTAAACTTACACTCATCTGGCTTCTTGCCAAGGCAAAACAGCATCTGGAGCTTTCTCCCCTCCACATTGAGGGAGGGACAGCCTGGACAATAAACTTACACTTGTCTGGTTTCTTGCCAGGGCAAAACAGTGGAGCTCTGGTGTGCTAGGGGTGGGTGGAATGGCTGGAGGCTCTCTAGGTTGGATCCCTAAGCGGAAACATTCACGTAGCAGTGGCTGGGTGTGTCCTTGCCGGCGTGTGACTGTGTAAAGACAAGACCTGATGAGGACGGTAGCTCTTCTCACTTTCACATCCCGAGAAGTGGCCAAGGCTGGAATGCCAGAGAGTTTGGCAGTAACCTGGTTCCAGGATGTATCTTTGGGAAGACCAACACCCCCAGCCAATGAACAGGGGGATTTAAAAATGGCGGCGCCCGGCAAGATGCAAATGAAGCCCGGGAAATTCAAATCCCGGGCTTCATTTGCAACTTCAGTTGCCTATATTAACCACCCTAGTTTGAACTAGGGCGGTAGTGTAGACATACCCAAAGAGAGGAGGGGAGAGGACAAACCATGGGCCAGAGCAGACAAACAACCACATATAAAGGAATCCAATGCATCAGGGAAGGGCAGACAAATAAGCAGTGGCAAATTTTTAAAGTGCTTCTACACAAATGCTAGGAGTCTGCCTAGTAAGATGGGTGAACTGGAGTACCTCATATTAAAGGAGGAGATTGACATAATAGGCATCACTGAAACCTGGTGGAATGAGGAAAATCTGTGGGACACAATCATACCGGGATATAAAATATATTGGAAGGATAAAGCAGGCCGGGTGGGTGGCGGAGTGGCACTGTATGAGAAAGATAATGTAGAATCAAATGAAATAAAAATATTAAATGAATCAACATGTTCAACAGAATCATTATGGATAGTAATTCCATGCTCCAATAATAAGAAATTAGCTGTAGGGATATATTACCGACCACCTGACCAGGACAGCAATACTGACATTGAAATGCTGAGGGAGATTAGAGAGGCTACCAAAATAAAGAACTCTATAATAATGGGGAACTTCAACTATCCCCATATTGACTGGGTACATGTCACCTCAGGACGAGATGCAGTGATAACATTTCTGAATGGCTTTAATGACTGCTTCTTGGAGCTGCTGGGACAGGAACCCACAAGGGGAGAGGCAATTCTCGATTTAGTCCTGAGTGG